CTGTAAAACACTCTCTATTTTTATTCACCTACACACATAGTAACTGGAGATACACAGACAGCACCGTCTGGCGCACGGTTTTTGCGACAAGCATGAACAAATAGTTTAAAAAAGGAGTTAATTGCCGATAACGCCCCTTAATTCTCCACAACGCCACTTGGGGTCGATTTTCACAAAACCCATTCTGTAGGGGATCTGTACTCTATGAAAGGGATCCGCTTATCAAATTTCAAGACTGTACGTCTAATAGTTTAAAAATGAAAATAATTATGTATAACGCCCCTTAAGCCCCCGCAACCGCCACTTAGGAAACGATTTTCACAAAACCCATCTTATAGTGGATCTGTACTTAATGAATGGAATTAGCTTACTAAATTTTGAGATTTTACGTCTAATAGTTTAAAAAAGGAGTTAATTGCCTATAACGCCACTTGGGAGTCGATTTTGACAAAACCCATTTTGCAGCGGATCTGTACTCTATGAAAGGAATCCGCTTACCAAATTTGAAGACTGTACGTCTAATAGTTTAAAATGGAAATAATTATGTATAACGACCCTTAAGCGCTTTCAACGCCCCTTGGAGGTCAATTTTTGTAAAAATCATTATGTAAGTAATCTCTACTTTATGAAAGAAATTTGTGTACCAAGTTTCACGACTGTACATCTAATAGTTTAGTAAAGGAAATAATTATCTATAACGCCCCTTAAACCCCCGTAACGCCCCTTGGGGTTCGAACTTTCTTAGAACGTTCGAACGTTCTTAGCTGACGTCTACTCCATGAAGGGAACCTACCTACCAACTTTCAAGTCTGTAGGTTTAATAGTTCCGGTGATATCGTGATTAGTCAGTGACTCAGTCAGTCAGTGAGTGAGTCGCTTTTCTCCTTTATATATATAGATAAATGAATACTAAAACTTTTTATCTGTATATAATCTTTATATATAATTACATATATACTTCCCATTAGATTGTGAGTATTCTATTGTTTGCTATTTCGGGTTCCGCGAGATAATTTTGTAATCGGTATAGTTAGCCCAATTTCTTGCAAAACTAAATAGTTTTCTAATGGAAAATACACCATTTTGCAATTGTGGAATAAAATACCAATAATGAAGGAAAGGAAACAGTTTATAAACAGATTCGATGTTTAAATCTAAATTTATACAAGAACAACTCCTAAATTTTAAGTTGCAAATTCCTGCAAAATATACATTTCTCCACAACTATAAATATTTTAATGGCATTCAGAACATTGTGTTTAAGGGAAATATATTTCTTAATGTGAGTGGCTACAACAACAAATTAAACTCAGAACATTAATGCGATTGTATTTAATCTCAATAGACCTAGACTTCGACAGTTTATGTAAAAAAAGCAAGAACCAGTGGCCTACACAGGAATTTTTCAAGGGGGGAGGGGAGTCCGGGGTCGAAAGTTCACCATTCTTGTATCATGCTCCTTTTGACTTTGTCGATTTTCGGGAACAAAACACAGTAAAAAACTAGTTTTTGAATAAATAATTAGCATTAATTAATAAAATTAATCATTAATAGCAAGTAATTAATTAAATTTTACGTACTATATGCTTAAAATTATAATCAATCGGAAAAAAAATCAAGGTCTTTGGGGGGTCGGACCCCCTCGTGTGCGCCACTGGGGAGAACATATTCATTTTACTAACTATATTGTTAGGTCAAATATTATTGATGAGTAAATTATATCAAAAAATTTGATTAGAGTTTTTAATAAAAAATGCAAAAATTTTTAATTACTTTTACATGAACTACCTATAACTATTCTTATAAGTATGTACAGTCACTCAAAAAAGTATTGGGATCCTTGACATGCATAACTGTAAAGCCATTTATAAAAATATTTATCACATTAAAATAAAAACAAAATGAATCAAGAAGTATTTTAACTTTTGGTGTGCAGTACATAAGGGAAATTTTATTAGTACCTTAGATTTATAATTTGATCTACCTTTTCAAATATAACTCAAAGGCACACTGGAGTGAAAAAAGTATTGGGAAACTTTTGAAATGAAAGATTTAACAAATACAACACATCAATAGAATTTAATTTCACACTAAAATTGTTAGACTAGAAGTTTAAACACAAATGCTTCGACAAATAAAATTATTTATAGAAAAAATGGCGAGAAACAAAGATATATCGGTTGATGTGCGAAATGTCGTAATAAGTCATTGGAAAGAGGAAAAATCAGTTCGCTGTATAGGAAAAATATTGAAATTGAGTAAGTCTACTGTTTTTAACATCATTAACAGGTTCAAGAAAACAAACAGCGTTGAAAACAAGAAAAGATCAGGGCGTTCAAGGATATTTAATGAACTGGAAGAGAGGTAGATTGTGTGTGTGAGAGAAAGAGACAAATACACATTAATCCAAGAACTAGTGCAGTAAAAATGACTTTGCAGTGTAAAAGTAGGTTCGGAAAATCAATAAATCCTGAAACTGTCAGAAATGTTTTAAGAAAACATAAGTATCATGGCAGAGTACATCAAAGAAAGCTCTACATCAGCAAAGCAAATAGACAAGCTAGGTTGGCATTTGCTAAAATGTAAGTAAGGCAGCCAACAGAATATTGGGAAAATATAATTTTTGTTGATGAAAGCAAATGTAACATTTTCGGATAGGATAACAAGCAAAAAGTTTCGTGGAAATCAAATACAGCAATGCACGTCAAAAATTTACGGCCTACTGTCAAATATGGAAGGTGTAACCAAATTATCCGCGGCTGCATGGCAGGTTCTGGTTTCGGGAACTTATATTTTATTGATGGTATAATGAATAAATATATCTATATTGATATTCTCAAGTGAAATTTAAAGCAAAGTGCGAGGAAGCAGGGAATCTTAGGATATTTTAAATTGTACCAAGATAATGACGCGTGACATACTGCAAATATTTGCAAGTATAATGGGTACCCTATAACTGTCCTAGAGTTATTAAAACTCCTGCACAAAGTCCAGACCTTAATCCCATTGAACATGGGTGAGATTATTTGCAGCAAAAACTATATGAGCACCAAATTTCTAACAAACAGGATTTGAGAAAATATTTAGTCGAAGAGTGGACCAAAATCAATAGATCGTTTTGCAAAATATTGATCCAATCCATGCCAAATACATTTCGAGATGTCATAAAAAGCAAGGAGGATCCAACAAAATATTAATTTCTAAGTTTGAATTTTTTTCTTAATTTTTTGGGAAGTGTCCGAATACTTTTTTGAGTACGTTTTTTAACTCGATTTCTTTTATTTTCAAATTTAACCATAATTGCATTAAAATGTATGAGTTTTGTTCACATTATTCTTATTTGTATATATATATTTAACAAAATAACGTTTACTTATTTTTTTTTGGTTTCATTTGTATGTTTAAGTAAAATATTGCGATAAAAATCTATGAACTGGTAGTGTGTCCCAATACTTTTTTGACAGACTATATGTGGAATAGGGTTCCATGAAAACATTTTCTATTTCTAGGGGTTCCACGACAACGCCTTCAAGTTCTTGAGTTGAAAAGTTTGAAGACCACTGCTTTATACGTTTTCAATTAGAGGCGTAAGTTAATGACTTGGAGAACATTTCAAAGTTTTCTCCATTGATTTATTTAATTCAATTAATCCATTTTCAAATCAATAAGTCTGTCATTTTATTTTTTATAAATTTCTTTGGTTATATCGATTGTTTTAATTATTCAAAACAAGAATATCGATCTTCTTTGAAAAAGATTTAAAATATTTGTTACTATGTCTAAAACACATTAATATGAATATGAAAACGGAAGTCACTTACCCCTTTATTTGAAAACTTCCAACAATTCTTCTTAATCCTCTCTTTTTTTAAAAAAAAAAATATTTCCCTAGGAACTGTTTTTCAAACGGTTTTATCTTTTTCCCCCTCCTTCAAAATCTTTTCATTTTAATGATATAAATCATCTTTACGTTCATCTTTTACGAGCACATTCACACATCTCCACCGAAGAATAACACGTAACTTTCAAACTCGCAAATGACGGGAAAAATTATAAATTCTCCATTGTTTTTTAATTCTTTTTTTTTTTGTACCTCAAATCTGTTGAATAAATTTCCTCATCAATTTGGCAATTGAGAAATGACCAATGGTGACTGCGACCAAAGGAAAACGCGACAAATAATTCGGCGTCAGATACGAAAAAATGTGCGCTTTTAAAAAACGATAGGAGCGGTGTCCTTCATTTTTAACGTTTTTTTATCGTCTTATTTTGTTCTGTTGCGTATTTATTCGACTCTTGTAAAAATGACCTTGACAAGCGACACCTGATTGAAAGTTTCCGGTAAACATAAGTGACGTGTTTCAGGTCTACTATCTGAAGTTTTATTTATTTGCTCTTTCAGGGTGTAAGCTATTGTTTTGCCGAGAAGGAAACTGGATTTTCTGCGAGTGACCGCTCACACACTTTCAGTATTGAAAAAGCTGATTTCCTCAGAAAGGCGTTGAAATGTGTCAGCGAATTACTGTATCAAATGGAAATGCCCGGTTTGGGGAGGATATCACAATATCTGTGGATTTTTTCAGAATTTCAAAACCTTCCTATGGGAAAAGATGTTTTCTGGCACATAAATGAAGGGAAAAATAAAAAAAATTTAATTTTCCTGTTAAGTTTTGTTACAAGGAGAGAATGAAGTTTTGGTATTCGAACTTTCTTCAATTCCTTCTATTAGTTCACACTCCCCCTATATATATATATATATATATATATATATATATATATATATATATATATATATCTTGTTCAAGTTTTCAATCGCTAATAAAATACTTTCTATTCATCCACTCAAGTTCAAATACATTTTTTAAACTTGTAGCGAATGACATTTAATGTTAATACAGTTTTTTCAAATATTAATTCACTAATCAAATTAAAAAATGAATAAATAGTAAGAAAAAAATAATAGTACAACACCCTATGTAAAAAGGAAAATCGCTGGTTCCGTCCTTGTAGCGCAATAGATAATGCATTGGACTTCTAATCCAAAAGTCGTGGATTCGAATTCCACCTGGGATGGCCTCTGAGAACGTGATTTCTTTTTACTATGCTATTTTATTGGAATAATTAAATTTAATTAATGAATAAATAGTAAGAAACAAAAATAATAGCCCAACATTATATATAGAAAGGAAAAAGGAAAATCTCTTTCTATTTTGCTACTTAATATTGTGATTCTGTCATATATGTATGTGGGAGACAACAAGGGGTCCAAGATATTTGTCTTTCTTCAGATTTATTTTAAACTTAACAAAAATTAATTAAAAAAAAGGTAGCTATTCTACAATTGGACTTCCATGATGTGACGACGGTAACGCCTGCTCGCGAACCTCAGTCTTTCTCTCTGCTCTTTTCTCAATTGTTAAAGTTTTCGTTTCTTAAAGTTTCAGTTAGCTGCGCCTGCGCGCGAAGACAGCGTGCTTTTCTCGAGAACGATTGGATCCTACAACCGGCCAGCCTGACTGTACGCTGTCTGCAGCGGTACTTCCATGGACACCAGAGGAGAATCTGAAACATACAAAAAACAAAAAAGACGGAACAGACAAGGACTATACAACAAATATACAAAGATTTAACATATCATAATTTTGTTGAACTAGACAGTTTCTCCATTATGTGAAGGCACCTCTTCGACATCCGGAAGGTTCAACAGGAAAACATTCATTTTGCTATCTTGGTTTTTATCAGATCCATTAGGCATAAGAACGACTTTTTTTAACAAGCTCTTCTTTGGTTGAACGCATCGTTTTTTTCCTCTCTAGAGTTCTGGACGTCTGTTCAAAACGATCACTCTTTTTCTTCCGTTTCCACTGCCAGGGCTCGAAGAGCCTCCGGAGCATTGCGAACCGACTATGTTTAGTCTTCATAGGTGAAGGGGTGGGTGATCGAGAGTTGGAGCCCACGGAACTCGTTTTCATGGCACCATTGACTTTCTTACACAATACTATAGGTGAACAATAATCGGAAACACTCTCTTTTATAATACCTTGTTGTAACCAATCATCAATTTGATCGTCTACCTGTAATTTCTCAGAACAAGATAAACGTCTGGCTCTCTGACACACAGGAATATCATCTTTTAATATAATATTCATTTTTAACTTAGTACTCTTAATTTTATTAGGCTTATAATTCTTAATTAGAGAACTCAAATCATTTCTAGTATTAAAGTTTTTAACATGTGACAAATCATAACTAGAGTTTTCTATCACATTTGCAACATAAAAAATAGAATTAGAATAAGCACCAGAATAAGCACCCAAAGAGGATCCACTTTCATTCAATAAAACATCGCTCTTTGCGTGGCTTAGTTTCTTTATTTCAGCATATACACTGGGATGTATAATAAATTCTTCGGTCAAGGTCGGTGATATTGCCGTTCGAACACTTAAACTGGGAGAGCGCTGAGTAAGAGAAAGATTTATGGGTTGAATTTCTACCATACGCTGTTCGTCAAAACATGAGCTTAATGTTATTATTTCTTCGGAAGGTTAGTTCACTCTAATTAGTGAGGAATTTAGAACTGGGATCTGGCAATCTGAATCAATCAAGGCTGTTGCGGGCTGATTTTCCACAAAAATGTTTACATATTGGAGCTGTGCGAACTCATCGCTTTTTTGTTTTTCGCTCTTGACTTTCAAACTGTTCACGTTTTTTCTATTATGGATGTGAGATTCTTTAGGCTTAAAACGCTTCTCACAATCTCTTGCGTAATGAGATGAATCACCGCATATATATAGCAATTTTTATTTTGTCTTTCAAGATTTTGGGGATAGCTATCTTTAATCTCTGGTTTATAGTTTGATGATCTATTTTTAAAGGGGTCTTCGGTATATCCACAAGCAATAGGAGTTTCCTTACGTGATCCGCTTCTAGATGAAATATAAATATCGCACTCTTTAGCTAAATCGATAGGCCTAAACCAATCTTCCGCTTCTCGAATGCCAATATGAGTTGCAGTTTCCTTATTTAAAGTTTCAAATAATTTATCAGAAATTAAAAGATCACATAGAGATTCAAAGGAATTAACTTTTCTTAACGAACAATAATATTGGAAGTTTGCCGTCAATCTTGCAGCAAATTGGATGTATGTCTCGCCTGATGATTTTACAGCATTTTTAAATGAGTTTAAACACTCTCGAGGGGTTACTTGGAATTCTCTGAGTACTATAGATTTTAGTTTTTCATAGTCATTTAATTCCTCCTTTTTAATATACAATAAGACATTATGAGCTCTTTCGCCCAGAAGATTTATTAAAATTTCAGATTTATATTCGTCATTTATTTTCTTGGTTAAAAATGCGCGTTCTAATGATTGGAAGAACAGATTAAAATTTTCAGATCTGGTGGGAACAGGAAGAGATAAAGTTTTAATGCTTTTGATCATATTTTCTATGTTTGTTTCGAAGTGTTTCTCTTCGACTTTAGCTGCAGGATTTAAACTTAATGCTTTATTTTTAGCCGTTTGAAGTTCGACTTCTTTTTCTAACTGTGCTAACTGTAGTTTTGCGAGCTCAATTTTCTGTTTTTCTAAAGTTGCCTCTCTTTCGTTTCGCGATACCCTCTCATCTATACAGTTTTTAATTAAAGTTTTAACGAAATCTGGATCACTTTCAAATGTACTACTCTTCTCAATTTTAGTCTTTAGTTTAGCTATGGTGTCCGTACTCTCCACAGTACCGTCTAGATCCTCAACAACTCTTATGAGATCCTCTTTAAGAGCGTTTTTATACATTTTAGAAAAAATATGGAAATATCCTACCTTTTTTTTCTAGCTCCCTTGTTGCTCGCACGTACGATGTATCCAATAATTAAAGAAAAACGTTGATTCCACAGATTTCACCTCTTCGCAGGTTATATCGTTAGACGAAAAATAGTTCTTGAAATTGTTCGAATTGACACCTCTTCGCAGGTGTTTATGCAATAGTTCCAACCTCTACACAGGCGGAATATTCAGAGTTCGAATGAAAAATTCAACCTCTACACAGGTTATATTGTTAGACGAAAAATAGTTCTTGAACAGATAATAGTTCCAACCTCTACACAGACGGAATATTCAGGGTTCGTATGAAAAATTCAACCTCTACACAGGTTATATTGTTAGTCGAAAAACAGTTCTTGTAAAGATAAATAGTTCCGGCCTCTACACAGGCGGAGTATTCACGCTGGGTTCAAACGAAAAATTCAACCTCTACACAGGTTGAACGAAGTTTCCAAAAAATGGCGGCGCGTCTCCTCCACGGACGCTTTTGTTCACGCGTTCCAAACTTTCATCAAAATCGAAATTTTATCGATCCCGGCCGAGCCCCCATAATTTGTGGGAGACAACAAGGGGTCCAAGACATTTGTCTTTCTTCAGATTTATTTTAAACTTAACAAAAATTAATTAAAAAAAAGGTAGCTATTCTACAATTGGACTTCCATGATGTGACGACGGTAACTCCTGCTCACGAACCTCAGTCTTTCTCTCTGCTCTTTTCTCAATTGTTAAAGTTTTCGTTTCTTAAAGTTTCAGTTCTTGTTTCAGTTAGCTGCGCCTGCGCGCGAAGACTGAGTGCTTTTCTCGAGAACGATTGGATCCTACATGTATATACATATTTATATTCCCTCCTTCCTTCCTCAGTGGCACGGTAACCCAGGGTGGGCCTTGTCCTTCTCTTTCCATACCAGCCTTCTTCCTGCTAGTGTTCTCCAATTCTCAAAACCAGGAGATTTTTTTCTAGGCCTTTAATCAGTGGTGTAGCATGGGCTTTTGCCGCCTGGGGCCGACTGGAAATTTGTCGCCTCTCTATTTTAATTATTAGTCGAGAAAATTAGCAAAAGTTAAAAAAAGCAGCTTTAAATTTTTTATTGATTAAAAATGCACTTTTCGTGTTTTTTTTATTTCAAAATCTTTTATACAATTGTCAGTATCAATATATATGTGTCATATTCAACTGCCAGAATAGCTAAATTTGTTAGCCTTAACATGGACATAATCAATCTGAGATAATTTTTGATTAATTTTAGCTTATAGATAAGCTTCTCTCGCAATTGGCGTTACTGATGGCAGATGTTAAAAAATTCTCAACATTATGACAATGTTTCGTAAGCCATCTTCAAGTTTGGGCTCAATAATATATTTTAATAAACCCAGAGAGCCGAACCTAATGAGTTCTTTTTTACAGCCCGGGTCAGTTTCAGCTACGAAAGCTGGTAGACGCACGCGCTCAAGTTTGAATTCTTTATTAATGTCTTGAGAAGATTGATCCAAGTTAAGTTTGTGATGTACCTCCCCTTGGAAGTACATCCCTCGAAGTATCAGCGTGAGCTAGAGGTGTAGGGTTATCGTAAGAATTAGAATAAAACATTATCTTAATATGACTTTATTGATATTCAACTTAAACTTTGAACAAATATAATATTATTAATGAATGAGAGAATCACGATGACGCAATACGCAACACACAATATAATACAGACCAATCTCAATAATTGAACCGCCTAATCTTCAAATATAATAATAAGTAATCAATCCTACCTTATATTATTCTGTAATAAACTTGTCTTTATCTACAATGGTATGCAGCTTTACGTTTAACTTCTAATCGATCACTAATATGTTTATCCACGACACGTAGAACTTGAATCTTAAACGACGAACTTCTATAATCATCCACTGCCACAACGCACATCAATTGTCCAACATTCCTTTACCTTGCCATTACGCTTACTCTAAGATCCTATAGTTATCCTATATTATTTGCATCTCTTCACTTCTCGTTTCTTGGATTTGGTTGGAAAAGAGTTGCCATTAATTCAGGCCCAAAGAACCCAAAGGACTTGTTAAAGAAAAGACGCGTAAGACGTCACAAGTTCGCCCATGCTCAACATCACTTCAGGCCTTAAAAAAGCGTATTTTTGCTCTAGATTTTACAACTATTGAAATCTTTCTCGAATTTCAGCAGTTACTCTGTCTATTGAAGAAAACATTGTTCGCTTCAAGTCATCTTCATACGATAACTGAACATCTTTGTTTC